CAAAAGTTATGAACAGGTATAAACGAACAAAAAGTTATGAACAGGTATATACGACAAAAGTAATGGTAAGCCTGATTTATAAGCTATCTTAAGTTAATAATTTTGAATTGTAAAAAATAAGCATAAAGTTTCAAGGGAATCTTTGAAATAAATACTTTAAATATTGTTTATTCAAGTTGTTAATTTTTTTATGCATGTGTGGTACATTTGTTACTTATTTATAACATGATATTCTTATGCAGATTCATGAATAATTTTTGTGGTTCAGTAAATGTTCGAAATATAAACTCATTTGGTAGTCATAATTATGTTAATCGCGTGACTTCACTAATAGAATAACAAGTGGAGCCACTACGTTCAGGTTTTTTTCTGTCTTTCTTTTTTATCTCTACGTCTTGAAAGTTACAAAATCAACAGAATAGCGGGTTCGTATTTTAGAATATTGACATAAACTATTATATAATTCTCACTTTTAAGATTTGGGTGGAAGGTTGAGGCAGGAGCTCTTATAACACAGCTAGAAAAATGAAGTCTACACAAATACCACGACGACATTTATCACACCTTTGAAGCTGTGCTAAGCTACGATTATTTTTTACTTCTTGACATCAGATATTGCTACTGACCTGTAACACTTACAGGAATGACAATACTCCTTTTATACAACTCGTGAAAATAAATGGCAAAGGTAATGACCTCTGTCACCACGATAACCCTAGAGATCGACTACTCTTTCCAGCAAAACAAGTCACGTGACTGCCATCTCAGTATAATCTGGTGATAAAATGTGCATATATATGTATATGTGTGTGTGTGTGTTATATAGGTTTTTTCATAAAGCTAAATTTATATAGATATGTCTAGGTGACAGATCATACTTTTTAAACGAATACACTTCAACATTGACGCCGCTTCCCTTTGTTACAACGATATTTTTTTACTGTGATCTATTGAGATCGATAGCGTTGGATTTAGATAATCGAAGAACCGCTGAGCTCTGTATTTTCAGTTGGTTACTTAATTACTACCATCTTGAAATTGAGGTTTTTACGTAAATAGATCATTTTGAAACTGCTAGTTAGTTTTTTACTGCACAGTTTCGTCTAATGTTGCAAATGTTTCTTCTCGCCTTAGCGGAAAACACTTTATAACTGTGCTGTGTTAACTTTCAAGAGATGATCCTCTACTTAGTTACATATGCTAGGTTTGTAATGTTTCAGTAATGTTTCAAATGTTTCTTCTCGCCTTAGAGGAAAACGCGTCTAATGTTGCAAGTGTCCCTTCTCATCTTAGGGAAAAAAACACGTCTAATGTTGCAAATGTTTCTTCTCGCCTTAGGGCAAAATACGTCAAATGTTGCAAGTGTCCCTTCTCATCTTAGGGGAAAACACGTCTAATGTTTCAAATGTCTCTTCTCGCCTTAGGGGAAAACACGTCTAATGTTTCAAATGTCTCTTCTCGCCTTAGGGAAAAACACATCTGATGCTGCAAATGTCTGGTGCCAGTGTAAGGAAATCAAGATCAAAATATCTTGTATTTCAACAGTTTGGGCTCCCGTTTAATCCTATACAAAACGAAGTTAATAGAGGACGAAGGCGATGAATGTGTAGTGCATGGTTGTGTTCTATACCTTAGAGGATAGATGGATCTCAAGTACAGATGACATTGCACTCGTCCATTATGAGAAAGGGCGTCGTGTTGTCTAAACAAATGGTCTTTTGTTAAAGTTTCCCAGCAGTTTAAAAAAGACGTGTGCATAAACGCAATCACGATCTCGACCATTTCTCGCACTGAGGAAAAACTATGGATGAACTAGCACGATAACTAAAGGTTGATTTTTCTAGTACACTAAAATTTAGCAAGAATCTTTATAAATTGCAGTTATCCTTCAGAATTACACCTGCTATAACATTTAACTTGCCCGGCATGGCCAGGTG